TCAATTCAACCATTTATTATTATTATTATTATATATATATATATATATACTAGCAAACCCGACGAACTCCGTTTCGCCACCAGGTGGTTTTCGTGAGAAAGATGAAGGAATTTTTTGTTTGTTTTATATTCGAAAAGGGAAAAATTTGATTTTATTACACAACAGTAATGAATTTATTTCGATTACAAAAATGAAGTTTTTTAGTTGAACTTCTCTAAGTAAATGAAAGTGAATCCGTAAATTATCCGTTTCATAGAAGTGCTCTATGGTAAACCACATTTTTTGTTTTTTGGTCTGAACACAAACAAAGCGGATGGTGGTTTTCCAACTCGTGAACAGGCAACGTATAACTGCCTACGTAAAAAACAATGATTTTCTAAATAATCTATTTGAAATTTATCCTGCAAACACTAAGCGATTGGCCTTGCGACTTGTTAATTGTCATTGCGAACGCAAGGCGAACTGGAAATTGCAATCGTTTGAAGTCGAACAGAAGACCAGTCGAAATCATTGGTATGTCACCAAATCGCCAGCAATTTTTGATTAAATGGTGAAATTCAGTGCGTGTACATCATTATTCTTTGCGGCAAGAATTGCTCGTTGACTTGACCAAGCATAATTCTGATAATTCTCACTGTCATTACTCGAATTTTTAATTACGTTGCGTGAAGTTCCAGCAATTTGCATTAAGGCACGATGCCATGCACCACTAATTTTCTTAGCTATAAACCTTGGGGAGCCCGAGACCTTTCCAACGAATTCAAAATTGTCGAAGTCGGTTCGTGCTTTCTGGAGTTATTTCGTCAGGAAGGAAACCCCGACTTATTATATATATATATATATATATATATATATATATATATATATATATAATGGTGTATTACTATATTTCTTTTCTATGTCAAAGCTTTTTTGTAGTTGCAAGTAAACCGAGTGATTTTCTTTTTCCTTCTAAACTATAAATGAGATTTCCAGATTAATTAGTGAAATTAATATGAAAATCTGTAAAATGAATTGCGTCATTTTGCTGTGGAAAAGGGGGAAGCTAAAGAACGGCACTTCGATTAATTTGCGTTTCTAATTACGATCCCAGCAGTCGTTTTGACGCTGAGAACGACTCAAATTTAATCACACCGTGGTTTCTTCTGCTCACCTAGAGCTGGGTTATTTATGTTTATTGAACCTTTTTCAAAGCCTGAATCTGCCGCAAGTGAATGATAGGTTTTTATGTCCTTTCGCAATTAATTCACAAGGCTGTAAAGAAAATCATTTAAATTTGTATTTGGGAAATGTAATATTAGATTAAATTATATTTGTAATGTTATACATTTTTGTTACAGAATCAAGATAAATGGAAGTACCAACCGCATCAACTAACAAATGCTGTGGCAAACATGACTTTAAAAACAGCCGCACCTCCACCGCCGTTGCCGATTTTAAATCACATTAACCAGCAACAACAGCTGCAACAGCAACAGCAACATCTACAACAGCAGCAACACTTACAACTGCAACAACAACATGTCGGTCTCGCTAATAATCATGTAATGACTCCTTACGGTACGGGCGACCAACAGTCGCAACAGCAGCCGCAACACCTAAATGGTTCGGCGGCTGGTGTTAAACAGCAGGAACATCTTGTATTCCTGGGCGCAGCAGGACAGCATCCGCAATTGAACGTTTTTCCGCCGCAACAAACGCAGCAGTACATGGCCGGACTCGCGCGGAATGTGGTGAGTGGATTGTTTAATTAGTTTAAATATTGTTGATATTTGTTTTATATGCTTCATTATATATATATATATATATATATATATATATATACTAGCTGACCCGGCAAACGTTGTTTTACCATATAAGGTATTTGTAAACAATTTCTAGAAAATTGAAAAAATTACTGATTTATTTTAAGTACTACCTGGCTCGGCAAACGTTGTTCAGCCATAAAAAATATTTCTAGAAAATCTTTTTAGAATTTTTTTGGTATAAAAAATAACTATGTAACTGATTATGAATGTGAAAGTGTGTAGTGAAAGATGCAACTAACACCAAAATGAATAGATGGTTTACACACTGCAACCCTTGCACATAAAAATGCTATGTGGACCTTTATACTCGCGGACCTTTAAGCCCCGCTCTACCCTATCATTCTATACTGCTAAGTAGGTTCTAATGCTGATAGTAGTGATTCAATATAATTCGAGCTTTATCACTAATTTTTAAAATATCTTATTCCCGAAGATATCGTAATTTATTGACATTTTTACAGACTCCCAAGTTATTATTTGTCTAATCTGCCTAATCTTCTTATTTAAATCGTTGTCTGTTATAACTGGGAATAAGTTATTCGACAAAATGTCCCCTTTGATCGATTCGAAGTTTAAGTTTTTAATTTAAATGAATTAAATAAAATAATTATATAATATAGAAAATGTTTTATAAATAACAAATCGCATAAAATTATACAAATGATTTCTTTTAGAGCACCGAGTTTAAGAAAAATATGATTGCGCGAAAAAGAGTGCTAACGCCAAAAAGTGCATTTTCATATTAACATTTCAAAAAAGTTGATATTTGGTGTTTCTAATAACACTATCGGCCTGTTTAATAACGTTTTTGTGTATAAATAAAACTACAAACAAAACTACTTACTACAATTAAATAATATTCATCTAAAACATCCTATTAAATATAATTCAACATAATCTGTCAAAAACATTTGATATTTGACGTATGACTCACCGTCCATTGTTTCATATAAATTACGCTTCTACAAAAAATTTTAAATTTTGCACAATCTCTGGATTAGCACAAATCATTCAAGACTAAAAGCGGCCAAATCGGTTCAGTCGTATTCGAGTTTTAGCATACCTAACGTAATACCGAACTATATTTTTATATATATAAGATAAGATGGAGCATATAAATGCAAATAAGTTATTATATAAATGCATGCACATGTGTATTTGTGAAAATTTTACGATTCTAACGTTTTAAAGCCTATCTTGTCAAAAATGGTTATTGTATTGTTAATGTTGACTTCATATTTTACCACAAAATGGTGAATCCGTCTAAATACAGTTAATAAAGTCGTTTAAATGAGACTTTACCAAGAGTCAAAATTACTCTACTAATGAAACTCGCAATGTTGTGAGAGGATGTGTTGAAAGTATCTTCGAAACTTTTTTGATTGCTTCTTTTATTAGTGTTTGTCGAAAGCTATTATTGATTAGGTTCATTGGATGGAAGATACAACCATTTCTATATTTCCTTCTATTACTACTTCCGCAAGGTTATTGTTAATTATTGATGATTTTCTTTACTTTTGTGAAATAATCTTCGGCTAACATGATTTTTAAATTTTTTTAAAGCCTGTGGAAAGGACGAAAACAGATTTTAGTCATCATATGGGTTAGGTCGAAATAGTAGAACATTTATGAAGTGTTATGAATTTATGATTTTTTCATTTTCCCTAAAAGCTTCCATAATAGCAAATAAGAAGTTTGAGGCTATATTTCGTCATTAGTAGTTTTCAATATACTTTCGATATATCTCTGTGAATATCAAGAGTTTCCGCATCCGACGATGCAGCGAATTTTATATGAGAAGTTTTATCATGCACGAGAGATGTTCCATTCTCCTGTACCTTCTGCTTGCATCTCTTTACTTATTTTGTCGAAACTTGGGCACACTGCCATTTTAACCATGACTAAGGTAGTTTTTCTACTTATGTATGTTCTATTTGCGTATTCACAGCTTTCTATATTTTTGTCTTTTTCCATATGCTGTAAATCAAGGTTTTATTTGTTTAACGTGTGGTCAGTTCAGTATTTATAATACTTGAATATGTTTCTTTCAAATAAGTTCAGATTTTTACTCCAAAATCTACAGCAGCTGCTCATATTGCATATTGCATCACTAAAAGTATTTCATAAATTTTGATTTCAATTCAAGGTTTCCTCAGAGGTAACAAAGAAATTCTTATTATCTCTTAACTTTATGTAAATGCGAAAATTCCTTTTTTCTGCATCCAAAATGTGCTATTCTCTTGGTCGTGTTGACCTAAAGACGTTTAATATTAATGATTCGTTTCTTTATAGATAGAGAGCATGAAATAGTAATAAGGAATCTGTTTTATGCCAACGAGGAACGAATGAGAAAATTTAGAGTTGTAATTAGAATTTTCATTTCTAATGTGAATGATTCCTTAATAGCAATGCGAATAAACGTTAAATCTTGTTTGGCAATAATTGATCTATTACTGTATTATTGAAATATAACATTGGTTACATGTTAATTTTTTCTTCCGCTGTTTTCTTCCTCCAGAATTTGTTCCATTCGAATATATCCGAATACTATCTTATAATCTAATTTTCTCTTATATAGGAAATAAAACGCCGCCTTACATAAGCTAACGCCAATAATTTAATTGAATTTTCTACTTTTTGCTTTCTTTCATTTTGCCATTAAGCCTTAATATCATTTGACGAAAGAAACAATTTGCTTTTTTGTTATTTGAGTAACAGCATGCGTATCATTTCGTATTTCTTGCAAGTGTTTCTGGGAAAAGTATAATTTATTTTGCTAGAATGATATTCAAGATCATAATTCTTGATTATTAATATCATTGTTTATTAAAAATTATAGATAAAGATTAAATTACAATAGATAATTTTAAACGGTTTTGTGTTCTTGGAATTTTATAAAATATCAAATCAAAGAGGAGAGTATGGCGTTCATATGTACCATACATATATTTAATATAGATGTTCTCTTGAGTGAGTTTTTGTGTATAAAGAAGTTATTCTTTCAATAATAATCTTTTCTCTGCAAAACATGATTAATCTTTCATTATGTGAGCAAAGGTTTTATTGTGCGTTGGGCACCCGTAACGAGAACAAGTTGCACAACAAAACCGTCATGCTGGTCTGATTCAATGAACAATTGGTTAAGATCAATCAGCGAAAAACTTTCTCAATTTGTTTAATAATTTTATATGCGTATTGAGAACAAAATTATAAGGAAACGAACTTTAATGGGCGACTCTACTTTAATAGCAAAAAATATCAAGCATCAGGCAATCATATTCGATCAAACTTTGCGGAGCAAAGTACATGGACTCAATCCTTTTCTCCTTCGTGAGTTTTGTCCCTTACTTTTGCTGGTTTCTTAACAATTAAATAGTCAGTTTGTAAATAGAAAAAATGGCTCTCATACTACTTCATCTTGACAAATATAAGCTTAAGGATACAGTGAAAAATGTAGTAAGAAAATAATCACTCAATTTTCATTAATCAAGTTTAGTCTAATTCTCTAAAAATAGCATTTTGAGTCCAAGAACCAATTACAGCAAATAAATATCGAAACTATTAGCCATCTATATATTCTCAAACTTTGTGGAGCAAGTACAATAATTTCATCGATTGACTGATTTTTTTTCTCCTTCGTATTTTTTGGTCCTTTCGCCTGAAAAGACTCGTTCTTGACAAATATATTGTCAGTTCGTATATAAAGAAAATTTGGCTTTCATACTACTTCATCTTGACAAATATAAGCCTAATGGATATAAGGAAAGATATGTAGGAAAACAAACTACTATAAATAAACGTTCTATCATTCTGCTTTCATTGAAATCGAGTTTAACTTAAAATTAGTGTTTAGAAAACGAACCAAAAGCACTTATATGAAAACAATATATAGTCATGGCATTTTGCAATTAGTAGATGGGATTTTTAATATAATTTCTATAAGATCTATTTTAAATAGATTTCCATACTGGTAGCCCCTATATGACTGAAATGCGAATATTTCCTTTTTTTCTGCATCCAAAATCTGCTATTCTCTTGACCTAAAGACGTAAAGGGGAGTAATGTGGCAATTCGAGTCAGCCTTGATATAAAAACAATATATAGTCATGACATTTTGTAACTTGTAAAACGATCGGATTTTTAATATAATTGTATAAATGTACACATTTCTGCAAAGTCTATTTTTAATAAACGAATATCCACGTTGGTGTCCCTGACTTGACTGAATTTTTTTATTTCCATATAAATTACAATCTGTCTCCAAGAGACATTCAGTAATTAGATTGTTGGTAGTAAAAATGGATGCTTAAAAGGATACCCAGTAGTAAACCTTTTAGTTATGATATGTAATAATTGTGGAAAATTATTTATAAATATAGATACTAAAACCTATTGTAAGTCTAAACATGCATAAATAATATATGACTATAAATACATATACATATAAATAATTCCTACATAAACTAACTTTACTTATTCTGTTAATTCGAGTAAAGATTGTCTTTTTAATCTGTGATTATATGTGGTATTGTACTGTTCGTTTGCTAGGACGTTGGGGTGACTGCTTATTTTTATTTTATAATTTTGTGCTATTTTGTCTATCTTTTCATTTACAGTGTTGACGTTTGCGTCTTGGTGTATTAGCCATGTAGGCATGTATTTCGGTGCAGAGAGAGCCTCACGTAGGATTTTATTTTGAAATCTTTGAATGATTTGGATGTTGCTTCCTTTAGCTATACCCCATAGTTGGAGGCCATATGTCCAAACTGGCTTAAAGATAACCTTGTATATGAGAAATTTGTTTGAAGTGGAGAGTTCAGATCGTCTTCGTAGCAGCCAGTAGAGAGTTCTACGGAGGTGTTCCAACTGTTCTTGTTTTTTGAGAATATGGATTTTCCAATCCATGGATTATAAAAAAAATTATT